AGGAAAAAGGCTTGAAACTCCTTGCACTTTTGCTTTGTTCTCAAAATGTAGAGATTCATTCAACCCAGTCTCAGAAATGAAAACTATAACTAGTTCAAACATCAAAATTTGTTTGCAAAAATAATTCTTTGTTCAAATCATTTACAAATAAAATAAAATTTCATTGTGGAAATTGATGAGGAAAAAAGAGGGGATGAAACTCGCATAACTGCAAGTTGCAAAAAAGTTGGAGGTGGCTGTCTGTAAAAGTAATGCTCTTTGGGTTTTAATCATGCATCAATATCTTTTCTATTTGTAGGAGATCTGGACTATCATCGAATGAACAGGCAGAAACTGCCGTGCTTCCCTTTCCCTCAACGAGTGAGAAGCTTCCCGATGCTTCACTTCTGTTGAATTCTCATACTGTCCCATTTGTGAGTGGTAATGACCATGCTTCTCGAGTTGCAGCTGCAATGGCTGAAAGTGCATCTAGGAAAAGAAATTCAAATGGTCTGGCTTCCTCTCTTTCCCGCAATAAAATTCCAAGAGGGACATTGCTTCATAGTAAGAATGTTCCAGATACTGCTAGTGGTATGTTACTACCACCCCAACTTCGTGGGAGGTGAGTCATGGACTTTTTTATTGTTTCTTGCTCATATTTGCATTATACCCATTTATGTGTTTTAACTATCCATATTTTGAATATGATTTTGCTCCTTATTTCCAGATAAAGGGAAATTTATTTTGACTGGGTTATATGTGTGCTAGAAGAAACGCAAATAGGGAACCATGTGGTTTTGTAGAGAAGGAAGATCAATCCATTCTTGAGTAATTAAGGTCCGATAACAATAAACTACGGGAGCCTTAACCCTCCTTGTCATTCACTCCTCTATTTCCCATGGTTAGGCTTCTACATAAAGCTCATCTGTGAATGCTTGTGTTCATTTTCATGTGCTGGTTTCATTATCTCACTTGCACATGAATGGAATCTTTGAAGTATAATATAAATAATAAAGTTAGGTTTTTCTATATTTAGTAGTTAACCAACTAATTATTTAACAATTGTAACTGTAGTACGAGATATTTGCCTTTGAGGAGAATTTTCATTTCAGATAGACTCACAAATGCAGTCTCTAAGATATATATATATATATATATATATGAAAAAAGAAATATTATTAATAAAGAAGAGAAAATTACAGAACCTGAGGGAAAGAAATCCTTTATGAACATAAGAAGAAAAACAAAAAGGAAAGAACACATAAAAGAATTCAATACAACATTACATCCAATCCCTCTGTAAAACAGTCAAGGAGATGTTACTAGAAAACTTGCAACCCTATTTTTGTAGACGGAAAAATATATCAAATTAATAACATTTCAAGGGGATGCTACCCAATTAAAAAAAAATTTACAAATCTTCCGAAGAGAAAGTATCAAGCCGGTCAACCATATATATCCTTTGATCGAAATATTGAGAACTTTCAACATGTGATTTCTAATATCTTAAAATTGTGAAATTGAATTTTCAAAAGCTCTCTTATTTCTCTAATTCCAAATAGCACAAAGTATAGACAGAGGATGGGGGAAAGGATCTCAATTTTAGGCTTAGGACCCATGATACCGTTCATGTTTGACATAAACATACATCATCCAAGGGAGATTAAGAAAAGCAAGAGCCGAATACCAAAGTCTTCTAGTCTCACAACATGGCAAAAGATGTCCTGAGGATTCCCATCCATTTAGACATAAGAAGCAGCCTTTACCAGGATTCGCCCTCTTCTTTCCAGGTTCTCCAATGTCAAAATCCTTCCCCAGGCAGCCTCCAACACGAGAAGGAAAAAAAAAATCACAAAAGAGGGATTCATTCATTCACCTCCCAATTGTTTACATTACGTAGAGGAGGGACATTCGAATGCCAAACTCCACCATTCACATCATAGCAATTATTGATCATAGCATTCTTGTTTCTAGTAGCCGATTAGATGATTGGAAGGGGTCCTTAATGCCCCTTTCAAACACAAGTGGTCAAACCCTAACTGGATCCTCGTAATAGTTACCGCTGCCAACCTAAAACTTCGAACAATTGCAAATGTCATTCCAATCTCTATTGATCCAGCTCCAGGGACTTGCATTGGAAGTGGCCTTCTCTTTTTGGATATTCACTCACTATTCAATAAACTGTATTTTGCAATAAAAAATTTCCTCATGTAATTTGAAGAGGATAAGAACCAGAATTGCCACTTAGCAAGTAACACCATATTGAACTTAGAAATGGATCTTTTGCCTAGCTTTCTGTTGCACAAGGGCTACTTTATCTTGCCTCATGTGGCCAAGTGATATTTTTTTGGGCTCTCCATGACTCCATAAAATACAATATTGGAGAGACTCCATTCTCTTGGTCACACTAACTAGAATGGGGAAAGGAAGAGAAAGTAAATAGGGAGGCTAGACAGTGCAGTTTTTATGACTGTCAATCTTGCCCATTTTGACAGTGTGTTTCTCTTCCATGAGGAAAATTTCTTCTCCATTTTAGTAATAATTGGATTCCATATACCAACCTCCTGCATTTTAGCACCAAGAGGTAAGCCAAGATATTTAATAGGAAAAGAGGGAACTTTGCAAGCAAGGGTGTGAGCTAGCTCATGAATTCCATCCCCATTTCCCATTGGAACCACTAGCTGCTTTCCCCAGTTTACTGAGGCCAGAGATTGCTTGGGAGCATAGAAGAATGCATCTTATGTTCATTCTTGTTTAGCTTTAGGAACTTGCAAATATGAGGTTAGTTAGTTCCACTTCTTGATCTTACGTACCAATATTTAACCGCTTAAGTTGATTTTACTTCCCCTTTTCAGTACATCCACCATATTAGCACAAGAGAAGCACCAAGAGCCTTTTCTCTGTGGGAAAGGCATATTGAGCCTCACCCACCATGAAACTTGCTGGTTGGCTCATCCGTTTTGCAGGACTTTAGCAAGCAGTTTGTGAATACTCCTTTCCAAGGTTGTAGTTGATGCAGAAAAAAGATCCTAACTGAACATATTTCAATACTAAGAGATATTTATGGATTATAATGTTCATATATTTTTAAGTGTATTTAACTTATTTTAAGAGATATAGTAATCAATATCTCCTTTGGGATATAAAAAAAAAAAAAGACACTTGAAACACAGTACTTGAGAAAATTTGTTAAGAACCAAAAGAAGATATTTCACATCTTAATAATCAGATCAACATCTAACTGTTTGTACAATAATTAATATGGATAATCGGAATTGACAACTAAGCTTGGGTACTCATTATCAGTGGGCACCAAGCATAATCAAACTTAAGTCCATCTAGGAAATAAGCCAAGTGGAAAAGTAAATTAATTAGTTGCATAACTTATAATAGAGAATATTATTTCAAAGATAACTTATAATAGAGAATAACTAAATAAAATCCTAACTAAATAGGAATTATAGACTCATACTATGATATGCCTATAGGCCATAGCTCCTATATAAGATCTATGTTCAATAATACACAGCTTAATTTCAGTCCTGTCTGGATGATTTCCTTGGAAGGCTCAAGTTAGTTATGTTGGGTGGATGATTTCCTTGGAAGGCTCAAGTTAGTTATGTTGGGTGCCTATATAGTGTGTACTAACTTAGTTGGAGACTCAGATTATTATGATTGTTATGCAGCACTAATAAGATTTTTGAGTTCGCTATTGACATCTGATTTCCCTAGTTTGCCACCTTGTTTAATTTTCTTACTTTTTCTTTTCAATCTCTTGTTGTACTATATCAGTATGATCAGAAAATTGTTTGATGTTTTGAACAATAACTATAATGGTTACAAGAATGTTTTGAAGAAGATGGATGATTGGTAAAATGCCTTGAATTCCTTCCGTGCGGTCATACAAGGGCCCGGAGTTTCTTCTGAGAAATTTTCAGACACCTGCGCCAACAGGAATCTCATTAGCACTTATAAATTGATAATTTGGTTTTGAGTTCTAATCACAAAAAAAATTTTGTTTGAGAGATTTGATAACATTTTTTTCCTCCAAATGCTTTGGTTTTATTATATATGTTTGCTTATGAAATTTTTTCATGTCTGCAACAGGAGCAACATTGTCACAGAAGATATTGGAAGGCTGTTTGTGAAAAAACATGCTGATAATCCAGACGTTATAGAATCACCAGATTAATGATAATTTCTTTCGGAGTTGTTGTCGTAGTTTGTTTAATGAATCATTCGCAACAACTTCTCGATTGAGGATTTTGCAGTTGTATAAATGTAAGGTATATTTCTGCATACTCCTTGGAAATCTGGATGGTTTGTGAACAAGGGCACACCATTGTTGGACACACAGGTCCAGTGACTAAATTGCTTCAACTTTTGGCCTTGTCATTTTGAACTGCTGGTTTGGTTGTTCGAAGTTCACCTTCTTAGGATGTATACTTCTAATTACAAGGACTGTGTAATAGACTACTGGTTGAATTGATCCTCTTGCCATGTTTTAACAGTTTTGACTATCCAGTTTGGACATTTAGCTACGCCTAGACTTGCCTAATAATTTAATTTTCCATTAAGCATTTTGTAATATTCTTTGAACTTCTTATTTTAAATGTATTTATTTTTTGTTTAAACAGCTAGTTTCAGTTATATATATCTATATATATATATATATATATATATATAATGCCTTAACTTTTTACTTAACTCCCTCAACATTTGAATGGGAGAATTAAAATTGGATTAGCAAAAAAAATTACTGTATCTGACTCTCTTTCTCTCCACTTTTTTTTTTTTTTGTTCTCTGTTCTTGTAATTTCATAAGAATTGCATTTCAAAGGAGAAAATTACCAGTATAAAAAAATTAAATTAAAAATCATAATAAAAATGAACACACAATCAAGATTTTACAGTAGGTAGTTATGGCACCAAAGAGAAAAATCACATTCTTCTGATTCAAAAAAATTCACCACCTTTTCTTATAAAATGAAGGAATGACCAAAAAACAATAGAAAATAAGAAAAAGAAATTATAAATTAAAGAATACTATTGAAAACATAACTAAACAAAAGAATTATGGCAAGAGCTTGCAATCTCTGATCCTTATTTGGTTATCTGCAGAACTGCATTCACCGTGAGAATAGGAAACTTTGGCTCAAACAGATAACAGCAAAGTCTGAACCAGAAGCAACTCAACATTTGGAGGATTAGCAGCACAGTTACTCCAATAAATTTCATGGGGGCTTCCTGCATTTTCATGCCATATCTGGGCCACTAGGAAGCTGTTCATAGCCATCATGATTAGCAGCAGCTGCAGCCTCTGGGCTTCCTTGAGCAGGAATGCACTTAAGGATGACGCCGACAAGTAGGCTTACAGCTCCCATTAAGACACTCAATAACCAGAATTTCCAGCTTAGTGGTACTGTTCCAGCAAAAGTTCCCAAGAATTCAACCATGATAACCTGGAAACCTACTGTTGACACCATAACAGCAATGAAAATCCAGCTGTTGAATATCCCACGTAAAACGTTTATCTTTTCCATATCCCTGCTGTTGATTTCATTGAAAACCTGTAAAGATGACTAGTCAAGTGAGGATACTGTCTGGATATCAGAAGGTTATCGCTGGTGTTAATCAAGAATTATGGAAGTTCATTATCAAATGCATGTAAGCTTATGTCCAAAAGCTGCTTCTTATGCCACTAACATTTATTTGGAGAGGGAACAAGACCAGAAACATCTGCAGGAAATTAATATAGGGAACAGCAAAGCTAGATACTTATGCAAGAAGCACCAGTTTTCCTTTTTGAAAGTCGAATGCTTTAGAGAAGCAAAAACAGAATGAGTTATGACAATGAAAAGTCAGTACCTGACAAAACACAAAGGTATTAAATACGATTGTATTGAGGATAGCAGTAGCATCAGGACCGGTGAGCTTGAGAATATGTTTCCCATAAAATTGGATAACACCAAGAACACTCAGTTGATAGATGCTCTGGCCAATGATATTCCTCCACATGACTCTGGTGATCAAGTGTACATTCCTCCCAATTGGAGGTCTCTTCATTAGCCCCTCGTGAGGAGGCTCCGTAGCCAATGCCAGTGCACCAAGCGTATCCATGATCAAGTTAACCCAAAGCATCTGAACAGCTGTGAGAGGCGCAGAACCTGGAAAGTACTTGCAGAGATTAGCATTCATTTCACGAAAAAAGGACTGAAAGTTAGCCCCAGAAAATTTCTGTCTTGACAGCTTATATCTATCAATGAACCTACCCGAGATGCAGGCAGAAACAAAATTGATCATTAAAGCGACAATATTTACTGTCAACTGGAACTGAACAAATTTTTGGATGTTGATATAAACAGCACGACCCCATCTGGCAACATTCACTATGGTTGTGAAGTTATCATCCAAAATTATTACATCAGCATTTTCTTTTGCAACCTGTTGGTGATAGCAGATTAAGTTGCTTAGCTAACAGTTATACAGACAGCACAAGGCTGATGGAAAAACATCATATGGAATTCACACCCAAACTTTTTGTCACATTTTTGGACATAGTACAATTTATTAGATCTCATTCCAGCAAGACATGAACTACTAGTGGAAAGCCACCTGAAGGAAATACAAGATCACAATAATGCCATAATTGTGAAAGCTAAATAATGTGAATACCATATGACCAAGAAGATGAATTAAGCTTCCAGAATAACCATTAAGATTGCATTGAAAAGGACAATCACAAACCTCTGTTCCTGCAATACCCATAGCAAGTCCAATATCTGCCTCATGCAAAGCAGGAGCATCATTTGTCCCATCACCAGTTACAGCAACAACTTCTTGGAAGACATCTCTTAATTGGTTTACTAAAGTGTGTTTGTCCAAAGGCAATGATCGGGCCATAACCTGCATGAACAACCAGAGAATTTTAGGAAAATTTTCACCAAATTGAAACTTAAGAAGTCTAAAAGCAGAGGTTAAACCTGCAGTTTCGGTACTAACTCCTGCATCTCCTGCAGACTTTTCTTACGAAAATCTGGTCCTTCTATTGCTAAACCATCTTCGGTCAAGATACCACACTCTTTAGCTATAGCCTTGGCAGTGTTAATATTGTCACCTGTTACCATTCTCACAGTAATTCCAGCAGCTAGACAAGTTTGCACAGCTTCTTTTACTCCTGGCCGGACAGGATCCTTAATTCCAATAACAGCTATTAGTGTATAATTATCATCAGGAATGTTATTTACATCACTGCTTTCATCGATGTCCTTGAATGCCAAGCATAAAGTCCTCAGCGCTTCAGAGGCAAAACCATTTATGATATCATTGATATTTTCTCTTTTCTCTTCAGACAGAGACACTGCTTCGCCATTCCCATTGAGGACTTTATCACACATTTTAAGAATTATTTCTGATGCACCTTTACAAATGCTCGTACTCCCCCATTGTTAGGGAGAGACACAAGCACAGACATCTTTTTCTTCACCGAGTTGAATGGTTCAACTTTCACTATGTTGGATTCTTGACGATGAGTCTTGAAATTACCTCCAATAAGCAATCCAAATTCCAACAATGCTCTTTCTGTTGGAGAACCTAAAATGTTAGTCTTTCCATCTTTCCCTTTCACTACTTCTGAGCTAGTATTCTGAAATATAGAGTGCAAAAGGACGCTGAATACGTCTTCTGAGACCGAAGACTTCAAAAAATCTTCATTCCTATTGTTTTCTAGTGCTTTAGTTACTTCACAGATCCATATTTTATCCACTACCATATGATTTGTAGTCAATGTACCAGTTTTGTCAGTGCAAATGCAGCTAGCGGAACCCATTGTTTCACAGGCAGAGAGATGCCTCACCAGTGCTCTCTCTTTCATCAATTGTTTCATTGCAAAGGCAAGACTTAGTGTCACTGCCAAAGGTAGTCCTTCGGGAACTGCAACGACAATTATAATCACTGCAATGGCAAAGTAATTTAAAAGTGTCATTGCATCATTGGGAGCCCATACTGTGATTTCATCATGAAGAGACTTCACCACTAAGAAGCGTGTAACAAGAACCAAAAATGTTAGAACTGAAAAACCCAATCCAATCTTTCCGATAATATTAGCAACCCCATTAAGCTTCACTTGCAATGGTGTCTCATCCTCTCCACCTTCGTTCAGGGTAACCATTAATCTTCCCCATTCAGTCTTCATACCAACAGCAGTCACTAACATTTTACCAGAACCGTCTTGCACTTTGGTTCCTGATAGAAGAAATGGCCACTCTCGGCTTACATTCACTGGCTCACTCTCGCCCGACAAACTTGACTCATCGATTGATAAGCTATAACCTGATATAAAAATACCATCTGCAGGAACCTGATCACCGATTGAGAGATGAACAATGTCACCAACCACCAAATCATAGATAGAGACTCTCTGTCTGCTTCCTTCTCGTGTAACCTGAATGATTATATTTTTCTTCTCTCTATCCAGGTCCTTGAATTGCAAGGATTGTTTATAGTCGCTTACTGCAGTCACCATCACAACTAGGAATATACTGAGAAAAATTCCTAAACCATCATATATACCTTTTGGCCACCCTTCAGTGGAGACGCCAACGCCCATTGAAATAGCAGCACATATCATTAGAACAATTAGAGTTAAGTCATGCAGAGCTTCCCAGACAAACATAAAAAATGTTCGAGAAGGTTTTTCTGCATGTTGGTTCGAGCCATAGATCTTTTGCCTAACTGCTAATTCACTTGACACAACACCATCATTTAGAGATACAGATGTCTTTCTACCTAAACCTTCCACTCCTCCATGGGCTTCCAAGCCCTTGACATCGTGTGTTCTAACAAGTGCAGCTAGTTCATCAGGTTCAATGCCAAAACCAGCTTGACTGACTTTTCTAGTCAGCTTGTACTCAACACGATTACCCGCTGTACAAGATAAAACCAGACTGTCAATGAAGGAAAGAAAACCTTTGGATCAAGAAGATGCAAGTATCTTATGGTGAAAATCATACCATCAATGAAATGTAACGCTGCCTTTTGAACATAAAGTGCTATTCGTACCTTTTCCTGATCAAACACGACAAAAACAAAAAATAAATACCAGTATTTAGCAGGAAAACAGAAACTTTTTTCAGGAGAAAAATAAATAGCAGTATTTGCAAGATTCAGAGCCATCAAGCAGGCTGCTTAGTGACCCATGAGACCCTGGCCATTACGTCATCTTTAATCGGCATGCTTCACCAGTCTTGTCCCACCAATATTGCGGCCAATAATCGTCAATGTACAACTCACCTCTGCTAATCCAAGCATCATGCCATGAGTGACTTTGAACTTTAATTTATACATGTAAAGGTACTTCTTGCTGATTTATGGAGTTATGAAACATCTAGACATTGTGTTTTATTGAAATAAACGTGAACTAAAAGAATCTTATGGGTACTACCACACATATTAAAGAAGGTAAACAGAGAAATAAACAGCTTCATAAACTATTAAAAAACTGTTGCTTTATACATACTGTTGTTAGTTTCTCCATTCTGTTATATTTACTTTTTGGCAAAAAAAAAGTGAAAACATATGATTCAAATGAGACAGAAACAAAGATAAAAATCAATAGGGATGATTAAGAACGGAAAAAGTAAACAAGTTAATGAACAGACGTCTTATGTATTGCACTTCCATTATTAAATACCACTAATTATACATAATTAGACATGTCATTGTTGTTTATGGGTGGTCTGTCAGGCTCGATCATGTTCATCCACTAAAGAAGGCATACTAGTCTTTTGGTCGCTTCATTCACTTAAATTGATTTTAATTCAATACACCCTCCTTTTCAACTAAAGCCGGCAGCCTTTCTGGCCAGGCTGGCCACTTCAATCCTCAGAGCCTTATTATTTATACAAGAAGCTTCATCAAAAAGAATGTGGCATGAGGTGAGAAATCTTTTAAAAAAATGAAAGTCAAATATTATTAACAACACCCTCTTTTTAATGTAAGAGTTGACTAACTATTCTATTTGATGATAACATATCAATAATATCTCAAATCTCACGTTGAAAAAATATATAAAAATTATTAAATTTTATATAAGAACTTAAGTCATATATTATTAATAGTTTAAACTTAAACTTCTAAGAACTAGTAGTGTGGGTCAAATAATTGTTGATCTATGATGAATATTGTGTGGAAAGCAGGCACAGACTTTGACATGATCGAGTAGTCATAGCTGGTTAAACTCATATCTAACCGTGGAAGATAAAATGAACATTAATGTCCCCAAGATCTTTCTAATTTTCACACATCATGGTCCTGAAATCTACCATAAAAATCCACACAAATGTGAGGAAACTTCCCCTAAAACTATTGGTATTGAAGAACTTTTGGGATATTATCAAACAAGTTAGAAATTTATAGGTCCAATTCACATTAGCAGTCCAATGGAAAATTGTTATTGCTAGGTTGCTGGCTATATAAACTCATATTATGTCAATTAAGAAATTAAAGGAAGTCGCCCAATGAAAAATTCTTTTGATAAAAAGTCTGAAAACAGGGTGGCCACTCAAATTTAGATTTTGTCAAAGCTGTCCATATCTTTGATTTGGCCTTTCTATATATCTAATTCAACCAAGTCTATAAACAAGAACATAAAATAGGAAAGTACCAAAACAGAAATTATTGGTTCCTTCTTCTGTTTTTGGAAAGAGATTATTTGGCTTGAATTAATCAATGGTGATTCTTGGGATGATAAGGTAAAAAATGAATGTTCATTATTCAGTCCTCAATCCTTTTCAGGCAAATTTTAGCAGACGCGAATCAACTCAATCTTATCCCAACTTCCAAAAAGCAATAACAAATCACTATTTTCTCATCAACCAAACAACAAAAGGTTTCCGAATTAAACACTTTGACCAATCAGAAGCTACATTGTAACAATGGAATCATCATCGATTAGATCATACAGAGAAAAAATAATTAGAAAGAAAGAAACCTGGAGTTTCCTCCGCTTCCTTTCACCTTCAGCACGCTTAGCGAGATCCGCCACCATACGGAACCGGCGGCGAGGATTTTTGACAACGGAAACGGCTCGTCGCCATTTCATGAGAGCTTCCTCAGAAGGTCTTTTGGCTTCTACGTCGAAGTTCTGTCTCAAGTATTCCTCCATTTTCACCGTGATGAGGATCAGTTCTTCTCCTCTGCTTCTCCCCGTGTCTTCTTCTTGATCAAGGTATGCGTTTTGGGAGATGGAAAGGTGTAATGGATTTCGAACAGAAATATTCAAAGCACGCCGCGAATGGCGCCAAGAAGTAAGAGAGAGACGTACGTGAAGACTGTGAAAACTGGTTGTATGAAAGCTTAACATGCGTTGCTTTACATGCGTACATGTTGCTCTAAATCTACATAAATATATATATATATATATATAGTGTACTACACGTATATCGCCATTTCCTTAGGTCATCT